GTGAGTGAAGCGATGGATCCAACAATCGCGATGACCGCTGCTCAAAGGTGCCGCCGCGCTCGACGTTCCACCGCTGCTTCGCGCCGAGTCCCGCCTTGCAATTGCAATTCCATACCGCTATACTGTACAAGCAACAATGAATTGCAAGGCATGGAGGGGTGCGCGTGCAGTCCCGCGAATGACCGCAATAAGAATCACGGATCGTGAATGACCAATCAAGAATAACATGCCATAACCAATCCCCAGTACTCGACACAGCGAGTCACTCCTTTTCGCATGCGCAAATCAAGCGGCAATAGAGACTTGGCTTGCATTTCAACGTGCGTCACGCTTTCTTTTCGTGTCTTTTGGCAGGCACAACCTCAGCTCTGCGTTGCGAGAATAATCATACCTGACTATCAGAATGGTGTTGGAACGTGAATGTACAAAGCTGCGCAAGCATGACTTCGACTCGAACTTTCCTGAGACGCATGCAGCTGCTTCATCGCAACATCTCCATACCTCAATATCACGTCCGCACCTCTCACCTCGACTTTGCACGCTCCACTGTCGAAGCAATCAGGAGCCTCTGTCCAGTGTGAGTAGCGCCACACTAGCCGCATTCTCAGCGTCACAAACCAACAGCGATCATCTATTCAGCCACGGCCAGCAGGGGGCAGGTGAGTACGACGTATTGCCCACCTAGCGAGAGCGATAGTTCTCGGCTGGGAAGAACGCGTGGCTGCGAAATTATAGAGCAAGATGCAAGTCAGCACATTGACCCTAAGCGGAGCATCGTATCGTGCGTTGGAGATCACTCACGGATCGTGTGGGATATCGCCCGGGTTCTTGACCAAAATGTGCTGAGGAGCGGTGAAAGGTGGACGAGGAGGAAGGTTTTGGCTGTTGTAGTGCAGTCCGCCTTGAGCCTGGGGAGAGTGAACTTGAGCCAAGACATCGGTGAAGGCCGACGGTGCATCGATGTCCTCTGGGGCCTTGACCAGGGCGGTGCTCTGAGAGGATGGGTGTGGCAAGCTGCTCCCAGTCGCAAGGCAGTGTGTAAGCCGCCTTGCCCGCGAAGCATGTACGCCGCAGCTTCCCCAGCCAACGTGACCTTCCCAGTCGGCACGCTGTGCCGTGCTCAATACCGCGCCCGCTCACCTCTTTGTGCCGTCCTCATTGGGAGCTGCGAGCAGCAAATTCGTCAAATGTTTTTGGGTCACCATGAAGAGCTGGGGGTACATGCGCCTAAAGTCCCTATCCTGATACTTGTTGCCAGCAATGTCTAGATTGGATCAAAGCGGTGACGCTGTTAGCATATACGCATCACTGCTGCATGCGCAGAGGAACGCATGCGTACCTGAAGCTCGCGAGGGAGTGAGAGCAGCCTTCTCTGGACGAGAGCCGGGGTTTGGGTAGCGAACCTAGAGGAGCATGCGAGGGGGGGAGGTGCGAAATCAGAACCGCGACTCGCTGCTCGTACCAAAGCAAGCGCACAACGACCTACCAGGTCAGGTCTGGGCAGACCGCTAGAGATCTCGGGGTTGACGGCGAAAATGTCTCTGAACTTGCGCCAGAAGGGCGTTCGACCTTCGACGTAGGTGTACTTGTGAGAAGAAGCGTAGGTGCCGGGCTTGTTGCTGTCCGACGTTGCTGCGTCCCTCAAGCATGAAGAAGGCCTGAGAGCGCCGCGTACGGCTGAACTTGCACGCATCGCCATGATGTAGTGCTGCTGCCTGCTGAACTCAAACCAGACGAGAGTTTGAGTGTGTCTGCTAGGTAATGGCTTGCAATCGTGAATAGCGAGGGTTTGAGAAGGATGAGAAGCCCGAAGACGCGCACACCTCTTGCGTGAGGGTCACCCTGGCTGCGTACATATGTACCGGTACAGCCTGCGCGCGCCGATTTCAAAGCAGCAGCAACAGCTAGCATGCGCGGGCGATGGCAGCAGCAGCAGCAGTTGACGCGCACGCACGCCGGCGAGGCAGACTGATACACGTGACTCGGTAAAGTCCTGCAATGTCCGCTCCGGCTTGTCATGCTAGCTGCTGCTGCTGCGTGCAAGCCGGCGAGTCGTACGACGTACGTGGAGCAGCGACCTCATGTTGCGGTGTCCGGTCCGAGGTGGAGCTGCTTCCCGCAGGTGATGTTGGCTTGGGGCAGATCGTTCACCATTGCTATTTGCTGTTCGACCATCATGTCTATCGAGGCGATGCGCTCTTCTTCAAGACTAAAGCTGTATTCCTACGACACCTCGCCGATCTTGGCTTTAGACTTGAATGATTTGACATGTCTGACATCTCGTGAGTCGTCCAAATGCTCACACCACGTGGTGCTTGTAGGTCGGCTAAGCACGCACACATCGCTCCCCTCTCTCTCTCGACCATCAAAGCTCGCAGCTTCATGGCGGTTACGCCCACTCCTTGTCGCGATCATGGCAAGGTCAATCACGCAGGATCACAAAGTCCATGTTCATGTATCCTCGTCAGTTCCGTGCCATTCGACACGCTTCTCAGAAATTCTTGGCATCACTCACGTCCGTTCTTGTTACCCTCTCCTCTGCGCAGTGTTCATTTCTGATGATCCGGATGCCGAAGCTCCACTAAAAGGCATGCCCAACCAGAGGAGGTGGGGCGTGAACAAGCTGCCAGGATTCTTGGAACCTCTGATCAAGAAGGGCCTGAGCAGCGTCATCCTGTTCGGTGTTCCTGAGCGGAAACCCAAAGTGAGTGGGAGCATATAATGACTCCAAGACGTGCTCTGCTCATCGACTCGTGCCGCCCTCTTGAATGCACCTTCAAGGATGAGATCGGGACTCTTGCGGACGATCCAGAGGGGCCCGTCATCAGCGCCGTCAAGACGCTCCGTGAAAAGTTCCCAGATCTCTACGTGGCCTGCGACGTTTGCCTGTGCGAATACACTTCTCACGGACACTGCGGTATCCTGCACGCCGACGGATTGATCAACAATGGACCGAGCGTGAAGAGGCTAGCAGATGTCGCTCTAGCTTACGCAAAAGCTGGTGCGCACTGCGTCGCCCCGTCGGACATGATGGATGGACGCGTAGGAGCCATCAAGAGGGCGCTCATCGATAACGGTCTGGTGGGAAAGACGAGCTTGATGAGCTACAGCGCTAAATTCGCGAGCTCTCTCTACGGCCCGTTCAGGTGAGTAACTGCTTCCTTGTGGGCTCGACGCTCACAAATGCACGGAACTGAAGCTCGAGATTACTGCCTGCGCTCTCAGAGATGCCGTTGCGTCTGCTCCAGCGTTTGGTGACAGAAGGTGTTACCAGCTGCCTCAGAATGCACGAGGCTTGGCACGCCGAGCAATTGTGCGCGATGTTGGCGAGGGTGCAGACATCATCATGGTCAAGCCTGGCAGCATCTATCTAGACATTGTGAGTCTCGCGCCCACACCTCGCGCCATGGTCTCGTTCCGCGTCCTCTGACGCACAGCTCGCCGCTCCTCGCACAGCTCGCCGAGGCGCGACAATTGGCACCGGACCATCCTCTGGCTGTCTACCACGTAAGTCGATACGTCTGAGTTGGGACAAAGCGGAATCTGTGCTCATTGCGCCAGGAACATCTCTGTGCAGGTGTCGGGAGAGTACGCAGCGCTACACGCAGCAGCCGCAGCTGGAGTTTACGACCTCAGAGCGCAGGTGCTAGAGCTGAGCGAAGCTTTCGTCAGAGCTGGCGCCACTATCATCCTCAGCTATTTCAGTCCGGAGTTGATGGATTGGCTGGATGCATAATCTGCAAAGAATACACACAGATACCAATTGCACAGAATGGCGGTGTGAGGGCAGCAGCCATAGCACATATCAAGGGTGAGCTTCAGAGACGTTGCGAAAGGGTGAAGACGATTCCGGTCCTGACATGGGAAAGGGCGCATTTCTGGCAGAGCGGCGATGGTGTATTGCTCCTGCTTCACAAATTCACTTGCATCTTGCCATTGTTCTGAATTGTGTCAAGATCAATAACCTGATGAGTGTGCGCTCTACAGCAAATGGCGCAGCTAGACTCACCTTGTACTCCCGCAAGATGCGCATCACTTCCACGGGACCCTTGCCTTTTGCGCCAATTGCCTCCGCAACCTCTTCGTCATCGACAAGCATGAAGACGTTGTGCTTCTTTTCGTCTGCGATGGTGAAGACACCTGTGGTCACGCCATTGTTGCGTTTCTCTTTGACAAAGGCCGCAAGATCTTGCACTGATTTGCGTTGTGGCAGCACGCCGATTCCAAACGCAATGTTGCCCCCAGTGTATTCTGACGCAAGCAAGCCAACGTTCAGCAAGTACCCTACGACAACGAGAGCGTCGCGATTCGCTCAACTGACCATGTCCGCAGTAAACAATAGTGTCGTCGGGCAGACTAGCGAGTACCGTGTTCAATGCGCGGTGCATTCTGACAAGAACAAGATTTACACATCGTCAATTCGGGCTGCTTGACTATGCGAATTGGACGTCAAACTTACTCTTCTGGCGTGCCCTCGAAGAAGCGACCGCAGCCGCCCTGCACTCCAAAGCAGAAGGGATCTGAGCTCCGAGCCGACAATGCGATCCCCTTGCGATCCGACTCACTACAAAGAGGGTGTCTCTGACAGAAAGAGGCTCGGGCTCTCGTCAGCACAAATGCCAATGTGCTCAAGCAAAGCAGTTCACCATACTCACCCGGTGAAGACGCCCTTCTTGCCGGCCTCGTCTTGCAAGAAGAAAGCGTGCGAATCTTGCGTATGGCAAGGTGTAGCGTAGATCTTCGCTTGGATGTTGGAACCTTGCCATAGCGCAAATGAATCTCCATGCTTCACCTGCTTCGTCATTGCAGGGCACTTGTCGCTGCCTCCCCACACAGTAGCCGAAGGGTACGCCTTTGCCTGCAGAAATGAGGGTAGTCAGAGCTTGCAAAGGCTTTCGCGGCTGCCAAAGAATTAGTATACCCACAAATGCTTCGTTGCCACCGCTGTGGTCAAAGTGGTCTGGGCTTGGGAAGCTACGGATGAGCGCAGCTCTGATCACGATGCTCTCGTAGCGCTACACGCACGATGAGTTGTGATGGAGCCGACGATTTCCGACACGCCGAGCTTTTGGGCAGCATCTTGCACCTTTCCTAGGTCGTAAGGATCTACGAAGACGCCTTTAGCACCGTCTGACACGATGTATGCGTAGTTCTGATGTTCATTGGGTGAATGAGCGTGGTTAGCGCTCCATTTCCAGACCGCACCCTGTGCAAGCACGCCCGCTCACGTCATCGCGTACTGGAACTGGCGTGACCTTCATGGCGCGTGCAAAAGAGGTGCTGAAAGGCTGAGCGGGGCTGTGCGCGCGTTTGAGATGTGGCGAGATGGAGTGCCTTGTGATCAGTTTGGCGATGCTGGAGAGCATTGCTGCGCGGGGATTTGGGTTTGAGAGGCCCACGTCGTGCTTTGTTCAGTGGCAGACAGCGTGGTGGAAGTTAGAGCGCGCATAAACTCACGCTACCAATCTCGCGAGTCAAGGTCTGGTCTAGCTCAGTGGTGAGTCAGGAGTGAAGGGTGCGGCATGGTGGACGCGAGGGTGAATCGTGGATGAAGAATGTCGTGCGACTCGATCGCCGCCAGCACCCCCTCAGCTGACCGCCACATGCATATGAGCGAGCGAGCACGGACTCCAACTCCCAACTGGACCTCTGACTGGGGCCGTACTGCCGTGCACGCCGCTAACATGTGAATTGAAGCCATGCAGACTGATCGTGAATATGCAGCTCTGTGTGCGGGCGGGGAAGCGCGAGGTGGAGGCTGGGAAGAACGTACACGTGACCACAACCTCGGCGCCTTAGCGCGGCCAAGACACAGGATGCATCACGATGGGTCTGTGCGGAGTCTCGAGTTACTCTTGACTCTTGACTCGTGATTGTATAATACACTCATCAGACTCGTACCTCATGACATGATGAAGACCCATCACAATCAACATCCCTTCACAAGTCGCTATCGTATCACACTGCATGCGTCTTCAGCGCGTCTGACGTGGCTTCACTCCAAGCCGCTGACGCGCTGAGAAGACCGCCACTGAGAATGTCTGACTTTCACCCTTTCATCTACGAAACACATGGATGGAGCGCGACATTCAGCCTGCAGCCTACCTCGCGGCAGGTGGCACTGCACGCCATCTCTGCCGGTGAGGAGCCAGCTTCGTCTAGAGACGTCTGTGCAGCGCTGGAGAAATGCGCCCACGCACAGTGGCTTAGCAAAGATTCCCAAGCGATGCCCTTGGGGCACCTCATTCTAAGTCACGCCGAATTAGGTGATGCGGGCCTGGAAAGGGTTCTCGAGACATTGTGCAAGTACAAACTTGGTCATCTTGGACGTGACGCCGAGCGTTTTGAAGATGAGGAGGACCCTCAAGAGAAGCCAGGGTATCAAAGAACACGCAGAGCATACATCCGCTTAAGAACGCTGCGCATCGATAACAATTCATTGACGGACAAGATCCTGGACCCGCTTGCCTCTTATCTTCAGAACAATGTCGACCTGCTGCATCTTGATCTAAGCGGCAACGATCTGGTTGTAAGTGTCGTTCCCTGCCTGTGGCCTCCTTGCGATGACCGATGCTCCAAAGCACTTGCTGACGCGCAATTGCCCACAGATGAAGCCAGATTGCTGCTCAAAGCTTTTAAGAGCGCTAGGCACTTCGAATTTAAAGACGATTCAGCTGAATTCAAATTCGTTCAGCGCTCGGAACCTTGCGGCCTTGCTGGACAACCTCTACGCTCCAGCTCTTCGAGAGATTCATCTAAATGCAACTCTCGACGACTATGACACAGAAGAGGCGGCGAAAGCCATAGCGAGGCTTTTGAGGTCAAGCGCAAGGGGTGACTTCGACGTTGCAAAACCAGTGCCGAACATAAGTGACTCTGCCGACGGCTCGAGCCAGCAGAGGCAGGGAGGATGGGCTCCGCGCCTGGAGACGATATCTGTGAGAGGAGACCCTTTCAGCCTTTCTGAGTTCCAAGAGATGGTGCTGGCTGTAGTGGGAGCCGGCGATCTGAGTGGGCAAGTTGAAGCGCAACTCACGGAGCCACACCGACAGCTACGGTCCTTTGCGAGTGAGGGTATGATTAGCGATGCGCATTGGCCACCTGGACCTCCCGGGCCCCGCCGCGAGCGAGCTCGGCCCGGTACTCATTATTTGTTGCTGCGTCGTCAGCGCGATCCGCCTTTCGAACGCTCAGACACGTTCCGCAGATCCCACACAGATGTCATGTTGCTGCTCGAGGACCAGCTCATTGCTAACAATAATCTTCTGAGAGCGGTACACACACGAAGTCTGCGCCTGCTTACAGTGGCGCGGGTACTGGGATGCCGCTCGAGCGAAGATAAATGCTCGGGGGAAGGCAGCTTCCAATTTGCTCGTCTGCCCTCAGAGCTTCGACTCGCCATTCTCAAGGCGACAGTCGCGTCTGACGATGCGGCCCTGAGCTCTGCCCAAATCAACGCTGTCATTCAGTGGGCTTGCGACCCCTCTACCATAGGATTCGATGGAGGAGCTTCGTTCTTCCTTGCACATCCCGGTGCCACTCCTTCGCCGTATCTACAGGAGTCACTTATACCGGTACCACCTATAGATTGGAGCGCGCTGCAGACTCGACGGGGGCCTTGGCCAAAGGACTACCTTGCATGCCATGTCGACGAGTCACCGTTGACCCCACCTTGGGTAACAGCCTTCCTTGACGCCACGCGCACACTGCTGCCCGACAATACTCCGCTACCCGAGCACTTCGTCGCTCCAGAATTCTACTGGAGGCCTTATCACAGACCTGATACATACCGGTGAACCAGATCGGTACTCCTGAAGGGACTTGACTTTACACACAAGAGTCGCGAGTGAATACAACGGCCAAAAGGTTGGCATCTTCGCACCATCACGCAGACGCTCGACATGCACTTCTGATTGTTCTGATGCATTCGCAGCTGGATGTTGTAGCTGTATGCCGAAAGCGGAGGAAGTGATGGACGTGGGGTGATGGTGCACGCAAAGACCACCACCTCGCATCTACGCCTGTGTTCGTCGCAACACAGCGGCTGCACAACACCCATCACCGCCAAGTCTTCTCGTGAGAGGTACACATTACAATGCACATCGAAAGTGAGAGGGAGCTGTTCTTGACTCCTGAATTTGGTGTGATGTGAAGGTGAAAGCTTGAGGTGATGCGTGATTTTGGGTGTGGTTGCAAGGACGTGAGTCTCTCGGCCGAGAACCCATCACGCGGGCTGACTGACGGTCACGCGCGGTCGCAGACATGCGCGCGTGCCGGTCCGCGCTTGGGGAAGGAATTATAGACCTCCCCGACTGATGACAGTTCACAGCCGAGCATTCCACATGATACATGCACACCACGCTGCGTGAAAGTTTCCGGCAGCGCAAATGTCTCTCTTGCGTTCCCTCAACACCCTTCACTTGGCCTCAAGTCGCTGTGCGCACAGCCACGTCTGGTCCTCTTCACGTCTGCTCAGCCTACCTTGGTCAATCTCGCCTGGATCGGACCGGAAGCACGACCCTCCGGCCTTTTGGATGCAGCTTGATGTCTTGAGCCGACAGGTCCTCCTTTGAGACACACACGACTCCGCAAACGCTCTCGCAGAGAGCGCAGCGAGCGCCACCATGGACGTCAAGCTCCCGGCGAACAGGTTGGAGGCGGATCGGCTTGTCGCTGCCAGCATGGAACGGTGGGATACCGGAGGTCGAGATCAACTGTGAGCTTCCACTTTTCAGCGTTCGGGGCCTCCGCTTCAGCGTCCATTTCGTCTTTGCCGGCTTGAAGAGCGGTCAAGGCCAGCTGGCTTCCTAGTATGGAGCAAGGCTTCGATCGCTTCAGAAATGGGGACATGGAATTAGCCTGTTTCGACGGTCCGCACGAACGTCAGCAACCCAAAGTTCTCACCAAAGGTATTCGTCTCTCTCCTCTCCATCCCAATCACATCTTCATCACAGTCACGATACTTTCCTATCCTCATGGCCCCAAACAGATAGCGGCCCCGCAGCAACAGCCTTCCCTTCATTGCTCACTGCCCTGCTCTCCTCACATTTGGCGCATCCGCGACTCTTGCCGGGAGCATACACTGCAATCTTCGAGGCTCTGAAGAAGCAAGAGCAGTCATCTGTCGCCTCTGCCGCGTCATCATCAGCTTCGCAAAATGGCGCTTCTCCAGCGCCTGTGCCCGAAACGTCGGAGGCTCTGGTAGACGCGATCCTGGATGGCATCTGGGCAGTTGACGCGGAATTAGACGCTCGGAAAGACCTGAGTGCTTCAACAGCGCTCTGGGCTGCAGCAGATGGCAGCAAGTCACCAGCCGAAATTGTTGCTAGATGCAGAGCAAGCTTAGCTCAGATCGTAAAGGAGCTGATTGTGAGTCTGGTCTCAGTGGACAATCTCGCCATGCGTGTGACCATTCAGCCTAAAGGCAAGCAGTGTTTAACGCGCATGTGCATCTTTTCGGGCCTCTTCAGCAAAAGCAGATCATTCCGAGGCTCACAACCGCGGAAAGGCTTGATCTGCCACTGTTGAAAGCAGTCGGATTGATAATGGACGAGACAGGCTTCCAACGCAAAGGGGTGCGTATGAACACAGCTAATCTCTACAAGCAGCAAAAGTTCAATTTGCTACGAGAAGAGAACGAAGGCTACTCGGGCCTCATCAACGAGCTCATCAGCGGCATGGGTCCATCGATCATCCCGATCAAGCATGACGCGGTGCAAGCCTCCAACGGGCTAGCTGATGGCGAAGCGTCAAAGTCGACGTCGGACTTGCCTGCGCAGTATCGCGTAGTCGAGCAAGAAAGCGTCGACGCGCGAAACGCACGTGCCCGTCGCGTGATGGGCAACATCTCTGCTCTCATTGGGTACTTTGACCTTGATCCGAATCGCGTCCTGGACGTCGTCATGGATGTCTTCAGTAGCAATGTTGTCAGTCACTGGCCTTTCTTCCTAGCTTTGCTGTCAGTGTCGCCATGGGCACCTTCTCATCCAGACGCCCAGCGTGCAAACGATGACGACATCACCATGCAGGACGAAGAGTCCTTCCTTGGGCCCATTCGGCTGGATTTCTCGCAAGATAGGGGGAACAGTACAGTTGCCCAGGTGCTCGGCTTCAAGTATGGATTCTACCAGATGCCCGATACAAGAGAAGATACGCCTGACGATCTATATTTTATGACTGCTCTGATGATCAAGAACTCCCTTATTCGGTTTGCGGACCTCTTCCCTCACCTCAGCCCGAAGGAGGAAGGCATGAAGCAGCTTCATCAGGCCTATCGCAAGACCCTTTCCGCACCTTCTGCATCCACTACAAAAGCCAATGCGCTTACTATGGCCGCGCCTTTGATAGAAGACGGATTGCATCGTCCAGGAGGCGCAGGGGGAGCGGAAACCGAGCAGATCAGACAGGCGGAAGCTACGGCGTCAGCTAAAGAACCCCCGAATCAAATTGGTGGTCTCTTGCGGGCTCTCTTGGCTGTCGGCGGCTTAAGGCATGCAGTCTTCATCCTCGGAAGGTATCCATGGCTGTGTAGCTCACTCGATGGCGTCGCGGAGCTTTACGCTCGCCTGCTCCGCCGCGTCTTGGAACCTGCCACCGCTACTATCTCCACCGCGCCTCTCTACGAACCTGATCCGAGACTAGCTCCAAAAGCTCCCCGCAGCGAGCGCGAATCCAGATCGAAAGGACCTCCGAGGCCCATACTATCCATGAACCCAATGCCTCAGCCTAAGGCCAAGGCCGCCTCGGAATCCAAACGCGGTCCAGAGCTAATTCCTGTGTTTTTCTACCCCATATGGGATAAGGAGCTCCCGGGATGCGAGCCGAAGGCTGTCTTGACAGATTTTGTGCCCTTCCTTCGTCTGCTTGGTGTCAACCTCGCCAAGGACATGGAGCTCATGAAGCAAGTGTCAAGACTTACGAAGGTCGGCCTCCGCATGGCGATGAGAAAGCTGGAACAAGATATCGCTTCTGAAGAGGGGAGGGAGAAAAAAGCTGCGTGGCTCGAAGTTGTCCGATCGCTTCTACTTCCAGCTCTGAGCTGCACGTATGGCGATTGGGACATTGCCCAAGAGGTTTGGCTCATCATCCATAGACTGACATACCAGGAAAGGTACGCACTCTACGGCGAATGGAAGTACGATCTCTATCGCAAGCCAGAACTCAAGGCTCGCCAGATCGCCACGGAACGTGAGGCCAAGGGGATTCTCAAGCGCATCAGCAGTGAGAACGTCAGGCAATCAGCAAAGGATCTAGCAACCGCATCGCACGCGAATCCCTGCATATTCTTGACGGTGGCTTTGAATCAAGTGCAAGCGTATGACAACCTGATCGCACCAATCGTAGAATGCGCCAAGTATCTTAGCGAGCTCGAATACGACGTCTTCACATTTATCTTGTTGGACGCACTCAGCAATCCAGAGAAAGAACGTACAAAACAGGATGGCACCAACATCAGCCTGTGGCTCAAGTCTCTTTCGAGCTTCGCAGGTATGCTCTACAGGCGACATAAGGAAATAGACGTCGGGCCTGTTTTGCAGTACATGGCCAACCAGCTCAAGCAAGACAACTCGAAAGATTTGGTGCTGATACGAGAATTAGTGCTCAAAATGTCTGGCATAGAGCCACTGGCAAACTTGGGCGACAAGCAAATTGCCGCCCTCACAGGTGGACGCCTGCTAAGACGAGAAGCGATGATGGTCGCCAATGCCCAAATTGGAAGCGACACTAGGCGCGAGTTCCATGACTCCGGAGCGCGCCTTCTGCTTGCGATGGAGGCAAGCTGCATGACTATTCCGCTATTGATTTTGATAGCTCAGCAGCGCCAAGCATGCATCTATCTGATCGGTGACGACGAAGGAGGCCTGAAGTACATGGGCAACGCCTTCGATTCCTGCCAAGAGACACTGTTCCAGTACGTCGAGTTCCTGCTCACACAACTCGAGCCGAGCGCCTACTCTACTTTGATCCCCAAGCTATCCGATCTTTATTCGCGCTTCAGTATCGAGCCCGCCATTGCCTTTCACATGGCAAGGCCTCGTCTTTTGATGGCGATGAAACTGGCCGACGCGAACCAGGCCGAAGAGCGTCTCAAAGCTGAAGTCAAGGCCAAGGCGGTGACCAAAATTGCATCGAATGAGCACAGCGCGACCTCCAAGGACACTCGATCTCTCGGTCAACCTGACGATACAGCGCAAAGAACAGTCGATTCGCAAGCCGACGGCACCGTAGAGCCTGGTCAAGAGAAGACTGATCAGGCGATGGAGGTGGAGATGACGGCTATCTCCCCGGCCTCGACTAGCCTGCCAGGGGTAAAATCAGTCTGGCGGCCCGGGATGGAGGAGGCGATCTCCGCAGCAAAGGAGATGCTGCCAGCTGCAGTGAGCGCGGTGTTGGGCCCTCATTTTTTTGCCTCTTTTTGGCAATTGAGCCTTTCCGACATTGCTGTGCCGATCGAGCGATACGATGTTGAGACAAATGCGCTGCAAACGCTGGCGAAAGCGAACGACCACGAACGCCGCGGTAACCTCAAGACAAGGGACCATGCGCTTGAAATTCTGTCGCATCTCAAGGCTGAACTCAAAGCGCAGACCCTCGCTCACTCTGCCACTCGGCGTCGCCTCGCAGTGGAGAAAGGGCACTGGTTTGGTGAGTCTGCTCTAGCCTAGCCAGAGCATTCACTCTCACCTCTTGCTGATCTTGCCGCTTCCGCTCCGCGGCATAACAGCGCACATATCCACGCCGACAGAAAGAGCTCAGCTTGTGTCGCAACTTCTGGAGCACTGCATTCTACCACGCGCGCTGCTCTCGCCTACCGACGCAATCTTTGCCGGTCGATTCATACGCCTGATGCACGCCAACGGTACGACAAACTTCTCTTCTCTGATGACGTACGACAGGATCTTCGTGGACCACGTTGCTCCCATCATCTTCGCATGCACCGAGAACGAGGCACGCAACTATGCTCGATTCCTCCAGCAAGTGCTCTCTGATCTTTCTGCTTGGCATGTTGATGAGGCAGTATATGCCAAGGAAGCGGTCGGCGCAGAGCTGCCGGGATTCCGGCCGAGGTGGACGATCGCGCAGAGTCTGCCATGGGAGTCTTTTCGCCAATTATTCCACAAGTGGCACATTGCGTTGCTTCAGGTGAGTGCTTCCACATTAAGCCCTTGATCCAAGCTGACCCTTCATTGAATTTATTTGCGCAGGCCTTTGAGCTGTGCCTGGCGTCATCCGAGTATATGCGTCTTCGCAATGTCATTGTCGTCATGACGCGGATCGCGCATTACTTCCCCTTGGACGAGCAACACGGCAAGGTTCTGTGCCTAGCAGTGCAAAAGCTTGTCGACGAGGAAGATCGAGGTGACCTGAAAGTCCTAGGCCAAGGCCTACTTGCAACTCTCAAGAAGGGTCAAAGCGCCTGGCTTCCTGTCTGGAAGTTCAAGTCGGATCCCCCTGCCCAGTCCGCTGCGGCTGCGGCTGCCGAGGCTGAGAAGACCGTCGCGAAAAGTGCCAAAGATGCAAAGGCGAACGCAGCCCCACCTGCTAAAGCGAGCGAGACGACCGCGGCCAAGAGCTTCAACGACACGAGCCCACTGCCGACTCGTCCCAAATCCAACGCGCCACCGATGGGACCTGCTGCCGAACGTGGTGTCCCAGGTCGCAACCCTCAGGCGCCACCCGCGAGGCCCACTCACGCTAATGACCACCCAGCCACTTCTACCGATGTGTCTGCCTCCAGGCCTGCTCTTGATCGCGCTGGGTCTTCTTCATTGCCGCCTCGACCCCCACCCCGCACCGCTGAGCGAGATCGACCACCGCCTTCTGCACCTCGGTCCGATCTGCCCAAACATCCGCGTCAGGCCGTCGGCAATAATACGCCCACCTCAATGGCTGCCAGGCAAGCGGCCGCAGGCACTATGGTGGCGCCGCAAAGGCCTGCTGACACTGCTGGCGCTCAAGCTGCGCGAGACCGAGCACAGGGCAACTCGACGCCACGACCGGCCAAAGATTCAACCGCACGCGAAGGGCATCCTACCCCCTCATCTGCACCCCGAGCTTCATCGAGAAACGTGTCACCTGCACGTGACAGCCGCGCCCCGAGCGTGGACTCGTCTAGGTCGCGAGAGAGCAAGGACCGCGGGCGCGACTCGAATCGGGAGCGACTCGTTGATCGAGAACGTGAACCTATCCGTGATAGTGACGACACTGTGCCCCAAGCTCGAGACAGTCAAAACCGTTCGCGACCGCGAGAGACAGAAAGGGAAACGGATCGGAGCGCGGGGCGGGGCGGAAGTGGGCGTGACCCTCGCATGGATGAGGTGCCCCGAGTTTCGCGCTACGCAGATCGCAGAGCACGAGAGGCAGTCCCGTCTGAAGAGAGCGACACGCGCACCGCAACACACCGAGGAGATGATCGACGCCGCCGCGAGGACCCAGACGCAGAGGCTCGCGCTTTGGATCTGGGCTCAAAGTCGACCGCCAAGCCCACGCCTAGAGAGACCGCTGGAAATGCCGATCGAAACGGACGTAGCCATGAAGATGCTGCTCAACCCACCAGCAGTCACAAACGTACTTTGGCTGATCGATTTGGCGCAAGCGATCAGGAGGGCAAAGTTGCTGCAGGGACAGTGAGTCTCAATCGACTGTTCTTCGCGCTGCAGCGTCGTAGCGTTGCTGACACAGATTGCTGCGCAGCCTATCCGCGAAGAGGCTGACAGAGCAGGCGATAGCAAGCGCGCAAAGTTAGATCGCAGCAGAGCTAGCAATCGCGTGGGTGTGGAAGCGGAAGTCCGCGACCGCAACGACAACCAAGCAACAACACCCAGCGGACCAAGGAAGGGACAGCTCTCTCCGCCCGCGAGTCGATCGGATGTCAGATCTACCCCGTCCGGTCCTAGATTAGACGCACAATCCAGGCGGCCATCGACCTCGCAGCAGCAAGAGCAAGATCCAAAGGCGGAGCGCGGGGCTGACCCGCCACCAGGCAGAGGCATCAGCATCCTGGGTGGAGGCGGAGGTCGTCCCCACGAACAAGCGCTCCAAAGATCCGCGTCTGACAACGCTCGTCCTGTGCCAAAAGGTCCCAATTGGCAGCGACAGCGCGAGGCGGAGCCAGCCACATCGTCTCGCGACTCCGTGGATGCGCGAGAGCCACGGGCACCGAGCAACGGCAGGAGCGGTGAACGTGGAGCGCGAGGTCACGGGCGTGACGACTCGCGAGCTCAGGTTGGCGCGAGTAATGATGGTCTGTCTAGAACCAGAGAGCGAGACCGTCGTCATGGAAGTGGCAGCGAGCCGCGCGGACCACGCAGCCAACAGGAGAGATCAAACGCAGGTGGAGGGAGGTCTTCGGGAGGCGAGCGCGAACGCAACAGAAGCCAGCGACGTTCTGGTCGCCAATGAGGCTCAGGTTTTGGCGTCAATCGCATGCACATCTTTCGGACTTTTTGTGAAGACACTTTGCAGCAATGCTTCCTGAACTCATGCAATCGGGAATGAAGATTTCATTACTGGAATTTTGGTGCCCGCTTTCATGACCTATGCACAGCTTCGATGGACTGGGGATATTTCAAGTTGGCGGACGCTCGCACTTGATCCATGATCTCCATGGTGAAGATGGAGTTCGCTGAGATAGAAGACGTGAAGCAGAGACAGTCAGTCAGCCATGGAGGTCCACGATGATGCACGTCGATGATGCTTACAAAGTGGATGCAGGTCCGCCTCAAATTTGCCGTCTCTGAGGGCCCTGGCGCAAGCATCGGCTTCCTGTGAGATGCAGTAGGTGCCTGTCAGCCGGACTCGATGTATGTGACATGGAAGTAGCTCGGAACCCACCCAGAACATGCTGCATGATGGGCGAACGAGCGGAATGAGGTCACCAAGTGCCAGACTTTGCTACGGATGGAGACGGCGCTGCCATTCCGTTCAACCGACTCACCCATGGCCGCCTGGAATGTCAAACTCTGTCGTCTTCGGCTCGCCAAGTTCGTCCGAATTCTTACGCAGGGTAATGGTGAAGGCGGTCGGTCTGAAAGGAGCCCAGTGAACCGTCAAGTCACCCTTCTCTCCTTGGATCAGCGTGTGCTGCTGAGAGTGGGTGCGCACTGTAAACTGTCGTCGCAGGTGGCGGGCGCCGCGACGCGAGGGGAAGGGGTTCAGTCAGTCTCGCCGCCAGATCTGTGAAGTGCTCGTGAACTGGGCTCACGTTTGCAGTCATTATTCCTTGCGTGTGACCCTTTTCGAAATTGAAAATCAAAGAAGTAAATTCGTCGACGCCAGTGACGGGATGCTTAAGGACGTTTGAAGTGATTCTGGGAGCTTGACGCTCGTTGCTGTGAGTACGGACCGGTCAGCCGGGGCCGCACGCACGAAACGCGACATTCAACTTACCTGGGATCCTCAAACAAGGTGAGAAGCTGCCAGGTGAGCGGATAAATGCCCAAATCCAGCAGAGCGCCACCTCCCAACTCCGGATTGAGCAGCCTGTGCTCCAGTGTGGCGTTGTCGAAGTGGACACCGAGCTCCGAATGAGCGCGATGCAGCTTTCCGAGCACTTTCTCCTGGTGAAGCAGGCGCTGAATCTCTCGCACTATGGGAAAGAAGCGGATCCACATGGCCTCCATTAGGAACAATTTCTGCGAAAGGGTGACGGAGCGCAGGCAGCCGATCAGCTGGAGCCCTTCGCGCTCATTCACTTCAAGCTCACCTTTGAGCGAGCAACGTCGACCAGATGCTTGGTCTGCATTGCATTGATGGTGAAAGGTTTCTGCAGGACATACCACGTGCGAGTCAGTAGCAGAGTTAAAAGTCAGCGCCTCTGCACCGAGCACTCTCACCTCGCAGCATACATGCTTGCCCGCATCCAAGCATTGCAGGACATTTGCGTAATGATGGCTGTGGGGCGTGGCAACGTACACGATTTGTACCTGCTTGTCCTTCAACATTTCCTCATAACTGCCATATGCGTGAGGCTTCTCCGCTTTATTTCTGGCTGCCCATTCAAGATCAGACTCTATGAAAGCCTGAGCTCGCTCGGCAGAGGAGGATGAAGCGACGGCTACGATTTGGTGACAAACGTCCTGCGCGTCCCTTGTTGCTGGGTCCACCAACAGATCGCCTGCAAACTTTTTGGCGATGCTGCGTCAATGAAGTGTTGGCAAAGGTGTCAGTAATGAGGAACATGAGATGCTGACCGATACTCGCTGACTTACCCGCCAGTCGCAAGAATGCCCCATCGAGCAGTGTAAGCCCGGCTGGTGTTCATGATGAAAGAGTAAATCTGGATGTGCGATAGTAATGCCGGGGTTCAAGCTGAGACAACGGAGGACTTTCGCGCCGCAATTGAACTGGGCTGAGAGGGGGGCAACCCAGGTGAGGATGTGAATGGTTCCGTGTTGCGATTACGATTGCAATTGAGGTGGTGGGGTAGGTGTATGCCGGAGGCTGCGTTTGAGAAGACTTTGCCTCGAAAACCCCAACAGGACACGCATCAGCTGTGGCATGCTGCTGTCGAACACCATGTGGAGGCGCACGCGTGCCAAAGCTAGCACGTGACCGCCTCGCCCTTTCAATGATCCACCATTCAAGTTTCGCGTGCGCGGCGCTGCGCTGCGCGCAACGATTCGTGATAGAGCCACTTGGCCTGTCTTGCCTGTCCCGCTGCTGCTGCCGTACACTCACCGCATGCTGGAGTCGCCCACGCGTCAATCTACAGCAGACAGTAGAGACAGCACAAGGACCATGCAGGTGGTGTACATCTATCACCACCGACGGATCCCAAAGCCCCCAACGGAAAGCGTCTCGTTAGCCCGCACCATACCTCTTTGCGCTCATCTTTCTCTAATCATCTACCACGACGTCCAGACTCTCCCCTTCGATTGTTTCCGTCTTGCGAAATGTCATCAGCATCGACCGCGCGGTATCGCGATCGCACGCACGATTTCCTTTCGCTCGTAGAGTCCCACACCCAAGCATCTGGATCGTCCAGCAGGCTGCTTGCTGATGGAGGGAATAACCGCAAAAGGACTCCAGCAGAAAGGAGCGAGTTTGCAAAGAAGGCTGCATCTGTGGCCAAGGAGATTGCAGAGACGAGCGCCAAGTTGGGAAGACTTGCTGAGCGTGAGTGGAATGTTGGTCGCCCAGCTGGCTCGTCGAGCAAGAGTAGAGGAGCTTGCTGACTGACGCACACTGCTGTTCGACGCCATCGCCTGTAGTGGCGAAGCGCAAGACCCTCTTCGACGATCGACCGGTGGAGATTAGCGAATTGACGTACATCATCAAGCACGACTTGGCGTCAATCAACCAACAACTGGGTCAGCTCCAATCCTTCGGCAAGCCTCAAAGGGCGGCGCCATCAGGCAAGAAGGACAAGGGAGAAGAACACAGAGGTAATGTGGTCACGTTGCTCCAGAGCAGATTGGCCGGGACTACGAGCGCTTTTCAGGAAGTGTTGGAGGTCAGGACAAAGGTGAGTCTTTAAGGTGGAATCGCTGTGAAGCAGCGCGATTTAGCTGAACAGGGCGACACTTGCAACGCTCGCAAGAACATGAAAGCATCTAGAGAGCGGACAGACCAATTTGCCTTCAACGGGGGAGCAGCTCCAGCGCCACCTCAAGCCAACTCGAGTGAGTGATGCGAGCGTGTAAACGCGGTCCGGAATCACTGCGCACTCGGCTGAGGCCAAAAGAACTCACCCAATCGTAGTCCTTCGTTCTCGCCTCGGTGTACCACCAGAATCCCCGCTCTACACTCCCAGAGCTGGAGCGAGTCAAAGTCAAGTGGCTGCAAGATCAGCACCCCAGCAAGGATACGATCCAACACAGGCAGCTTACGATGGGTACGATCCAAAGGCGAAAGGAGGTGGGGAGTTCCTGACGCTGGATATGGGCCAACAACAGCAGCAGCTTGAGCTGATGGAGAACGGAGGCAATGTGAGTCACGGTAGCAGGTGCGCTGGCCAGATGACTCGCTGACGGCGCTTCTCTTGGGCTCTTCGTCAGGACGCATACATGCAGCAGCGGTCCACCGCAATTGAATCCATTGAGAGCACCATTTCAGAGCTTGGCTCCATCTTTGGACAGTTGGCACATATGGT